AAATCTAATACAAACATCATACTTGGGCGACAAAAGTAAATTAATCCAAATCCCTGGAGACGATCCACATTACGAAGGCAAGGGCAGTGAAAACACATTCTGTTTGTTTTTTTATTTTTTGTTTTTTTTTTGAGACAGAGTTTTCGCTCTTGTTACCCAGGCCTGGAGTGCAATGGCGCGATCTATCAGCTCACCGCAACCTCCACCTCCAATGGGTTCAGGCAATTCTCCTGCCTTCAGCCTCCTGAGTAGCTGGGGAATACAGGCACGCGCCACCATGCCCAGCTAATTTTTTGTATTTTTTAGTAGAGACAGGGGTTTCACCATGTTAACCAGGATGGTCTCGATCTCTTGACCTTGTGATCCACCCACCTCGGCCTCCCAAAGTGCTGGGATTTACGACGTGAGCCACCGCACCACGGCCGAAAACACATTTTCTTAATAAAATATATGATCTAATTCAGCCAATGTAAGCATGGCTACATTTTCCTTTTCTCTTACTTTCTCTATCATTTTTTAATTTATTTGACAGGTGTCTGAGGTGTCATGTTATACACTTTCGTCTACAGGGGCTTGGATCATGCTTCCAGAATAAGTTTGATCTACAAAAACACACCTATATTAACACAAATAACCACAAAAACCTTAAGGATGTTGGTAGCTTTGGCTTCTTGAAAAATTCCCCGCATTTATGCAACTCCATTATCTACGTGGGGGAGTCTCAGGGGCGGTCCTCCAAGAGCTGACCAAACCCTAAAGTATTTTTCTTATCCTTTTAATCTGAACTTATTTCGATTATGACAAGTCAACATTATCAATTGGTTTTCCCTGGATAGGACAAACCCTGTATTATACCTTGACCCTGGCAAGGACTCCTTGGTTCTAATGCCTACACTGCCATCTCCTTGGCAGAAAGTGCCCGGAAGTATTGACTGTAAACAGAGAGGCAGAAACAAAGGGAACTTCAATAAAAGGCACCATCTGCTGTCTAAAGTTGGAAAGCACCCACCAACAGGTTCTTCAGGTCGAGAGGTAGATTAGGGAAGAGTCAAGAGGGCCTGAGATGAGTTCCAGATCAGGACTGATCTTTAGCCTTACGAAGAGTGGCTGGGTGGGAGCAACCCCCCAAAGGTGAGGTTTTCAAACTTGCCTACACATGAGAATCACCTGGTGCGTTTTAAAAAGTCTATTCTCCAGGCTGCGACCCAGGTCAGCCGAATCCACTCCCTCTGGGAGTGGGACACAAGCACCAGTATTTGTGTTAAAACTCTCCAGATGTGCGGCCAAGTTTGAGAACCAATGCCCGCAAAAGCATTCCCAGCGGAGCTTTGAGCAACGTTTTGAGCGGCAATAAGCAGAGTTAGGAAAGCAGCTGCCTTCGGGTGAAGGGAAAACACACAAAGCAAAATATACAAAGTTTCAAAAATCCTGTGTAACTAACTCCATCGTGACAGCCAAGTACCTGTCTGGAGGCCAAACAGTGATGCAACTTGGAAAATCCCGGGAGAGCTAGAATGTGTGCTCCAAGTGAGGCGGGGGCTTTCGGGGACGATCTGCCTCACTTGGAGGATCCGGAGAGAGGCCACGCGCCTTTCTTTCCAATAGATGGTCCGGCGGGGCACACTGACGGCTTAGGAACGAGAGGATAGGTCGGGGACTGCTCCGCGTGGGTGTCCCCCAGCTGTCACTCGAGCCGGAGGGTGCTGGCAGGGATGAGAGGGCAGGGAGCCCCTCTTCACGAAAGGGAAGTCCTGCAGATCCTCCTCCCTCCCACCCCGCTCCGAGGCGGGTTCCGCCGGGATCGCCCGCATTGGTTCTGCGCCTGCCCTCGGTGGGGCGCCGCGCGGCGCGCGAGTCCGGGTCGCACCTTCCCGCCCGAGGACCCGCGCGGCGCCGGACACGGAGGGCGGGCGCGCAGACTGAGCGCCGCGCACCTGGCGGAGCCCGAGCCCCTGGAGGTCCCGCCGCCCTGGGCGGCCCCTCGGCCCCGCAGCCCGGCTCCCGGCGCACACCCGCCCCGCTGCCGCCCGGAGCTCACTCACCGCCACCGATGCCTCCGCGCGAACAGCTCGCGCCCGCCAGCCAGCAGAGCCCGGCCGGAGTGCAGGGGGCCGCGGCGCCGCCAGGAGGCCGAGTGAGCCCGCGCAGCGCCCGCAGCCGCCGCCCCGCCCTCCCGGGAGGAGGGGCAGCGGCCAGGTGCCGGGGGGCCACGACCCTCCCCTTCGATCCGCCCGCGGCCGGTCGGGACGAAGCTCCCCTGGGAGACCCCCGCACCCCCCCGCCCGCCCCGGGCCGCGCTGAAGACACTCACCCGTTCCCCGGAGCCGCTAGTCCTGCCACCTCCCCTCTCTCGCAGGCCTCTGGCCTCTCCAAATTCCCGGACTCCAGGAAGCCCTCGCTATTTCGCATCCCAACTGCGCCGAGCTCAGTTTACCCCTTTCCCTTCTGCTCAGGCCTTTTTTCCCCCTCACTGTCAGAAACTTAAGGGATAGCGCTCTTCTACCACAGCAAACCCACACCTGTTTATTGAGCACCGACTATGTCCTCGGGACACCGGTGGGAGTATTAGATTGTAATCCCACTTGCCCGGTAGTGAGGAAGGTGAGGCATCTCATAAGGTCACACAGCTGGCGGTAGCAGGGCTGGAATTGGAAGCCAGTTTTTAGATCCTTGTTTAGACCCACCCCAGGGTAAGCGGCAGCATGCCTCTCTAGCTGTGAGGACTTGGGGAAAGTGTTACCAGTTCGAACCCGTTTCCTCATCTGTAAAATGAAGAGCTGGATACTCCACCAAGCTATAAGGATTCCCTGAGAAAACAACCTGTACTTCTTTTTTTTTGGAGACAGAGTCTCCCTCTTGCACAGGCTGGAGTGCAGTAGCGCGATCACTGCTCACTGCAGCCTCCGCCGCCCGGGTTCAAGCAATTCTCATGCCTCAGCCTCCCGAGTAGCTAGGTTTACAGGCGCGCACCACCACGCCCGGCTAATTTTTGTGTTTTTAGTAGAGATGGGGTTTCACCACGTAGGTCAGTCTGGTATCTAACTCCGGCTCTCACGTGACCCCCGCCCCCCCGCCATCCCACCTTGGCCTCCCAAAGTGCTGGCATTACGGGCATGAGCCACTTCGCCCGGCCCAAGCTGTGCTTAATACGTATTTGCTGACATATTGAATGAAATAGACCCTCGAACATTTAATAATTCAAAACAATGTAAAAGGTCTTCAAAAAGTATTGGGTTGGTGCAAAAGTAATTGCAGTTTCAATGGGGAAAAACCACAGTAACTTTTGCTCCAACCTAATAATGATTTATTGCCAAGAAAGAAAAAAAAATGCTACTTATCCCAAGCGGGCCGCATGGTCAAGGGAGTCTTTTGGAGGAAGCGGGATTGTGCTATTCTAGAGCTAGCGGGTCTAGATACAATGAGTTGGAGAAAACAGCCAAGGTGGCAGGTGTGTGAACAGCAACCAGAGGGTGGACCAGCTTTCCTGAGCAGAGGCTGCCTGGGGCAGTGTGCACATGCTAGAAAGGGGGATAAAGGCCAAGGCAGTGGATTGCTTGAGCACAGAAATTTAAGATCAGTCTGAGCAACATAGGGAAACCCTGTCTCTACAAAAAAAATAATAATAATAACAAAAATTAGCTAGGCATAGTGGTGTGTGCCTGTAGTCCCAGCTACTCAGGAGGCTGAGGTGGGTGATCCGTTGAGCCTGGGAGGTGGAGGCTGCAGCGAGCTGTGACTGCCCCACTGGACTCCAGCCTGAGTAACAGAATGAGACTTTATCTTAAAAAAAGAAGAAAGAAAAGGGGAAGGGAAAGGAAAAGAGAAGGGGGAAGGGAAGGGAGAAGGGAAGGGGAAGAGGGAAGGGAAGGGGGAAGGGAGGGGGGAAGGGAGGGGGAAGGGGGAGGGAAGGGGAAGGGAAGGGAAGGGAGAGGAAGGGAAGGGGAGGGAAGGGGGAAGGGAAGGGAAGGGGGAAGGGAAGGGGGAAGGGAAGGGGGAAGGGAGGAAGGGGAAGGGGGGAAGGGGGGAGGGGGAAGGGGAGGGGAAGGGGGAAGGGAAGGGGAAGGGGAGGGGAAGGGGGAAGGGGGAAGGGAAGGGGGAAGGGGGAGGGGAAGGGGAGGGAAGGGGAGGGGGAGGGGAAGGGGGAAGGGAAGGGGAAGGGGAGGGGAGGGGGAGGGGAGGAAGGGGGGGGGGAGAGAGGGGAGGGGAGAGGGGGAGAGGAAGGGGAGAGGGAGGGGAAGGGGAGGGGGGAGGGGGAGGAGAGGGGAGGGGAGGGAGGGGAGGG